CGGGAAGGATAAAGCGGGCAAGTTAGAACTTGCAACGTCTGGGGTCGGAGGCGGGCTGGCTTCCCCAGGAGCCGGTACCTAGAGATTTCCTGCAAAATCATTTTAGTAGGGAGACCTCATGGGCAAAGGCAGTGGCGGGTTAGTGGGCGGCCTTGGGAAGACAAGGAGGCCAAACCAGAGTGTAGGGTCCAACAGTGCCCTCAGGAGTGTGGAGACTCCAGGTCACCTCCGAGCGGCCCACGGAGCTGCAGTCCGCCACTGGGAGATTTAAACATGGGTAATGCAGGCCGAGGACAACCCCGAGAGAGCAGATGTTGAGGAGCCGGGTGTGAAGATCATGAACAGCCTGAAGGATTTGGGGTAGCAGCACATACAGTCTCAAGAAGTCTCAAAAGAAAGCTGTAGGCAGGGCAGAGTGACTCAAGCCTGTACTCACTAGCTACTTGGTAGGCTAAGATAGTGGTTCCAGGCCAGCCTGGACAAAAAAGTTCAAGAGACCCCATCTCAACCAATAAAAACTGGCCATTGTGGTGTGCCTGTCATCCCAACTACTCAGAAAGCATAAATAGGAGATTGCATTTCAGGACAGCCTGGGCATAAAGTAAGACTATTCAAGAAATAACCAAAGCAAGCCAGGCACAGAGACTCACATCTATAATCCTAGCTATTTGGGGGGGGGGGTGGAGATTGGGAAGATGGCTATTGAAGGCCAGCTGGGGCAAAAAAGTTCTCATAACCTCCAGGTCAACCAATAAAAAGCTGGGCACGATGGTGTGAACCTGTCATCCCAGTTATTCGGGAAGCATAAATCAGAGGATCTCCATCCAGGCCGGCCTGCGCATATACAGTGAGACCAAATAACCAAAGCAAAAAGGGCTAGGTGACTCAGGTGGTAGAGCGAAGCCGAGTTTAAATTCCAGCACACACCACACACACACACCCAAAAAAGAAAGGCTTTTTGAAGAAGTGCCAAACTTTTCCATCTGCACCCTTTCACATTCCCTCCATAGGGCAGCACAGGAAGACTCAAATTTCTCAACACTGTCAGCACTGGCTTTTGTTCGATTTTAGCCACAGCTAGCAGGTGTGAGTTTCTCATTTTGGATTGTGTACTGAGGTGCAGCTCTCTATTATTGAATGTTGAGCATCATTTTGTGTGCTTTTTGGCCATTTGTGTGTGCCACAGAAATGCCCAAAACATTTGCCTGTTTCTTAGTTGTCTTTATTATTGAGTTGTGAAAGTTTTTTCTATATTCTGAGCACAGGTTCCTTAGCTGATAGTGTTCAAATATTTTCACTAGACTGTGAGTTGTTACCACAGCCCTCAAAGAACTCAAGGTCTCATGCTCTGCTACCAAGCTGCACTCCCAGCCGTTTTTTACTTGATGTTTCCATGTGCAGCACAAAAGTCTTGGTTTTGATTTGGTCCAGTATTTCTGTTTTTATTTTATTGCCTGTGCTCTTGGTATCTTTTTCAATGAATCTGCTTATGCTTTTATCCATTTTATTGTTTCTTTTAAAGTTCATTTTTTCTACCCCAATATTTTTTGTTTAGCATCTTAAATTGAATATTTAATTTTTAACTTTTTTTTTGGCAGTACTAGGGTTTGAACTGAGGGCCTCAACTTGCTAGGCAGGCACTCTTCCATTTCAGCCACTCCACCAGCCTTGTTTTTTTGTTGTTGTTGTTGTTGGTTTTTTTCTAGATAGGATCTCGCAAACCATCTTCCCTGGACTGGCTTTGCGCAACAATCCTCCTGATCTCTGCCTCCTGAGTAGCTAGAATTACAGGTGTGAGCCACAGGTACTGTGCAATTTTTAACATATTCTCAACGTATAATTGTTAAAGGACAATAAACTATTTTCCCAAGTCTTATAAGTTAAAGGAATGTAATGAAAATTAGACTTAGTGATAGACTGATATTTTAAGCTCTGGGTAATAGAAGTTGAAGGACAGTAAGGGAAAGGACAAAGGGAAGGCATTGGAAATTTTTTGGATAGGAAATGGGCAAAAAGAAGGAAATTCAGGATAAATGTTACAAAGCACAGACTTTTCTGGCTTCATGGAATTCATTTAATAATTCTGGAGAAGAAGCAAGTATTGTTTTTCTTTACCTTCTGCATGCCAGTATTGTTTTAGAATCATAGGTTTTGAAAGCATACTAGTTTCTTATTTTTAAGCTTTTTGTAAATTATTTTTTTACTCATTTTTAAAAATTAACAAACTTATGTACACATTTGCATATTTTTAGTCATATAAATTATGTTTTTATGAAATATCTATGCATTTTGGAATGGCTAAATCAAGCTAACATGTGCATTACCTCACAGACTTAACATTTTTTTGTGATGAACACTTAAAGCCTATTCTCATAGCAACTTTCAAGAATACAATTTTAGTGAACATAATACAGTTGTTATTTATAGTCACAGTGCTGCATGATAGATCTGTTGAAATTATTCCTTCACTCTGAAACTTTGTATCTTTTGATAACTTCTAAATTTTTTTATTTTAAAGTAATTTCAGACTTATAGGACAATTGCAATAATGCAGAGTTCCCAAATAACCTTAACTGAGATTAATTCTTAACTTTTGCCACATTTATCATTTCTCTTATTTTTTCCTAAATCATTTAGCAGTAGGCTGAACATACTGCTTGAAAGGGTGGCTCACACTTGTAGAAATTACTTGGGATGCTGAGATTGGGAGGATCTAAGCCAGCCTGGGCAAACAATTCGCAAGACCCCATCTCCAAAATAAGCAGAGCAAAATGTACTGGAGGTGTGGCTCAAGTGGTAAAGCACCTGCTTTGCAAGCTTGAAGCTCTGAGTTCAAACCTCATTCCTGCCCAAAAAAAAAAAAGGTGGCCTCATTTGTAATTTCTTTCTTGTGTTCCATCTCTCCCGAATTTCTTCCTTTTTGGGTTAGGGCAGGGGTTAGATATGCAACATTTTTAGATATGCAACATTTTTGTTCTTGGAATCATTCATGTGTGCAAACTTATGTGGAGCTGGGAAATGTTTGACAAGTGCCCTATCACTGAGCTACATCTCCAGCCTTCTTATTTAAAAAAAAAAAACAAAAAACTGTATGTTTTAAATGTCTCCACATGCTTGTTTAAGACATTTACTTCAGTTTTGTGTTTGGTTTTCTGCTCATATTGGCCTTCCAGCTTTTCACGAGTCACCAATGCAGCTAAGCACCCCAGTGCAAGCAAGGGGAGTTTTCTAGCACACTTTCATTTACACAGCAGGGACAGACTTTTGGGATGCAGGGGTATTTTTGGCAGGGGAGGAGCTGGAGTTTGAGCTCAGGGCTTCATCCTTACAAAACAGGTGCTGTACCACTTGAGCCATGCTCTCAGCCTATTTTGCTCTGGTTAATTTTTGAAGATGGAGTCTCGTGAACTCTTTGCCCAGGCTGGTCTCAAACCAAGGTCCTCCCAATCTCAGCCTCCCGAGTAGCTAGGATTACTGGCGTCCAGCTGAGGATGCAGATTTAAATAGGTGCCTAGCTTCCACTGCTACTATCGAGTCATCCCAGCCTCCTCTGATCCCCACAGAGGCCATATGCAGGCCTCAGAATGGCCCTAGCATTAGTTTCCAAACTTGAAACACTGAGTTCCATTTATCGTTATTTTTAGCTTGAAGAATTCCCTTATGCCACCAACTTTCCTACCGACATCCCAGTTCAGGGCCCACAGCAAATAAAGGCCACATCTTAAAGTCCAGCCCTGTGGAGTGCTTCCTCACCATACCAGTGTAAGAGGTGTGGGCCCTCGGGAGCTTAGGAAAGGGAAGTGGTTTTAATTTACCCAGCACATTTCCTGGACAGAAAACAAACAGAAACACAATGCCCAATAGAGGGCCACATTTATGTAAGTGCCTGTATGATGCTTCTCTTTCTTCCCTCCCTTCTCCCTTCTCTAATGCATCCTAGACAATTTCACTATATCACATGCTAGGGAAAAACAGGTACACGAGAAAAAAACAAACACCTCTGGCTGCACATATAATGTAGACCTGCAAGGAAAGTAAAATGAGTCAATACAGTGCAAGGCTACAGGAGTGGGAGAGTTAACTTTTTTCTGAAGGGCATATCTGCAATGGGACATGCATTTCTCCCCCCATTTTAGAGATGAGGAAAAGAGACCCAGAAAGATCAGATGCTGTCCTGCATGAGTCCTCGGCAGGGGAGAGGAGGCCCTTTAGACAACCCACTGAATCCTTCACTATTTGCAGAACTTCCACTTGAGCCACACTTAGAAAAGTTTCTGGCCTCAAAAATTTCACAGCATGGAGAATGAACAGGAGTGAGTATTAAGTGGAGCAAATCACAGAACAAATGATAAAGCCCATGTGAACACCCCAAATTCCCCAAGAGAACATAGAAAGGGTCTGGGAATGTAGCTCAGTGTAGACCACTTGCCTAATATGCAGATGGGTTTGAAACCCAGCACTAGGGAAGGGAAAGCAAACAAACAAAAGTCCACCTCAGTCAAACCCAGAACCCCACTAAACCTAGACATAGTGGCACACACCTATAATCCCACTCTGGAAGCAGAGGCAGGAGGATTCTGAGTTGGAGGCCAGCCTGAGCTACGTAGCAAGACTCTGAATAAAACAAAACAAAATAATAGCAACAACAAAAACAACACAGCAAGGACAGAGAGTCAAGGAAGGCTCCTTGATGGGTGCTATTTCATTTGGGACTAGAGAAAAAGGATGTAGGTTTAGAAAAAATACTCTTTCAGATGGAGTCTCAAAATTGAAAATTGGGATTTCAGAGGTGGTCAGGCCTTTAGAGATTAACTCCTGTGTTTTTCAAACTTTTCAGTGAAACCTTAAACAGAAGCTTATTAAGTCAAAACTAATTGTAATGCAACTTAAAATCACAAATACTACTTTATCTCTACTAATATGGCTAGGAAAAATAAACAAAAAACAATACCAAGATCTGGTGAGCAACCTTCACACATTGCCAGTGGAACAGAGTATGGTACAACTGATTTTGAAAACAGTCTGGAAGTTTATTAAAAAGTTAGACATGAGGGGGCGAAATCAAATATGATATATCTGATACATTATAAGAACTTTTGCAAATACTCCAATGTACCCCCACCCAGCACAACAATAAAAAAAGAGGAAAAAAGTTAAGACATGAGCTTATCTGTGACCTAGCAATTCCACTTAGCTATTTACCCAAGAGAACCAAAAAATTAGGTTCACAAAACAGTCAGTAGTTAAATACTTACAGCTACTTTATTCATAGTTGCCCCAAATGGGAAACACTCAAATATTCTTCTCTGGGTGAATGGACAGACTGCTCTATCCATCAGAATGCTGCTCAGCTACAAGAAAAGTGAAACAACACCATGCTCTCCAGTGTGTTATGTTAAGGAGAAGATGCTAGACTCAAAAGGTACATAGTGTAATTCTGAGAATAGGACCTGAGGCTGTAGAGACAGGAAACCAGTGTTGTCCAGGACTAAGGACTCACCACGGGAACACAAAGGTATTCAGGGAGCAGGGGGAAGGGATGCTCTACACCCTGATTGTGGTGATGGCTATACAACTGTTTGTTTTTTAATGATTACTTTTTTTTCACCGCTACGTTTTTTTCAAAACTCAGAGAACTATACACTAAAGAGTGAGTTTTATTTTATTTAAATTATACCTCAAGAAATCTGGCTGTTACAAAATCTTATTGGTGAGCCAGGTGTGATGGCACATTCCTGTAATCCTAGCACCTAGGAGCCTGAGGCAGGAAGAGTGTGAGTTTGAAGCCAGCTACACAGCAAGACCCTGTTTAAAAAAATCAAAAGCCAACAACAAAATATCTCATCAGTAATCACAAATCTCAAAAGTGGAGCTACATGCAGCCCCTGCTTTTCTGCACTGCAGAGCTCCTCAGAAATGAAAATCATGCCAGTTTCACCTTGCAAATGCCAAACTGGGGCTCCATGAGAAGAAGAGACTCTTGCTTCAGTTAACCTGTGGTCTGAGAGACTGGCTAGAGCATCGTGACAGTGGAGGGAAGCCTTGAACCTGCCCAAATGGGCCTGAAGCTGGATACTCTCAGCAGCAAGCCTAGGCTTGGACATGAAAAAAGATCACATCATCGGGGCAACCCCAGAACTAGTTGGGTTCACTCCTTGGGCCCTCTGCTCTCTCGGCATGTTGCATCAGGTGGTTCTATCCAGTTCACCCGAGTACAGCAATAACCTCTACACAGACAACTTTTGTTTTCAAGAAAGAATTTTCTCATGTTTGCTTTCAAATTGAGTAACTTTAATAATCATCCAAATTATTTTGCTTTGCTAGTAATATTTATACCTTCTTATTTAACTTTCATTCATCCTATCTAACATAGCATGAACAATTGCTAAGTTATTTCCTACATGTATCACATTAAAAATGTCTTTCTTGGAAAATCTTTTTGATATGAATAAAGTATCTTTCAGACCCATCATTCAGTGGTGGTTTCTCTCCAGCATGAGTTCCCTGATGTTCAATAAGGGCTGAACCCCCACTGATGGCCTTTCCACATCCTTGGCATTTATAGGGTTTCTCCCCAGCATGAATTTTCTGATAGTCAGCGGGCTGGGTGGGGCTGAAGGTTTTCCCACATTCATTACACTTTGGGAGTTTCTCACCAGTATGAATTGTCCAGTGGAGAACGAGGTTTGCACCATGGCTGAAGGCCCTGCCACGTCTGTCTCCAGTGGATGGATGGCTAGAGTCATGACCGAACACAGGGTTACATCTGCCTCTGCGAGAGTTCTCCCCTGTGTGAACCCGCTGATGCTGAGTGAGGGTTGACCTTCGGCTGAAGGCCTTCCCACAGGCACCGCATTCATAGGGCTTCTCTCCAGTGTGGACACGCTGGTGTAGGGTCAGCTGGGAGCTCTGACTAAAGGCTTTCCCACACTCAGTGCACTGATAAGGCTTTTCCCCCGTGTGCACTCTGCGGTGCTGTACAAGAGTGGAACTCCGGCTGAAGGCTCTGCCACACTCACTGCAAACATAGGGCTTCTCTCCAGTATGAATTCTTACATGTTCAGTAAGATGAGAGTTGAAGCCAAAGGCTCTGCCGCATTCAGTACACACATAGGGTTTCTCTCCAGTGTGAACCCTGTGATGGAGAAAAAGGCTAGAGCTCTGACTAAAGGCCTTCCCACATTGATTGCATTTGTGGGGCTTCTCTCCTGTGTGAATCCTCTGATGCTGAATTAAGCTGGAGCTGCGACTGAAGGCCTTCCCACACCAACTGCAAGCATGGGGCTTCTCTCCTGTGTGAATTCTTTGGTGCTGAGTTAACTGGGGGCTCTGGCTGAAGGCTTTCCCACATTCATTACACTTGTAAGGTTTCTCTCCTGTGTGGATTATGCGATGCTGAATAAGAGATGAGCTCCGACTGAAGGCCTTCCCACATTCACTACACCCAAAAGGTCTTTCTCCAGTGTGAATTCTCTGATGCAGACGAAGGTGGGAATTGAGCCCAAAGGTTTTCCCACATTCGTCACATTTAAATGGTTTATTCCCAGTGTGAATATGATGATGCAGAATAAGGCCTGAGCTGTGAGTAAAGGCACGCCCACACCGACCACATTCGTAAGGCTTTTCTCCAGTGTGACGTCTCCGGTGTCGATTTAGGTCTGAATTATATTTGAAAGTTTTGCTGCAAATGTCACATTTAAAGACTCTGTCTCCTGTTTTGTTTCTTTGAAGTCTAACAACACTTTGGTTTGGATTCAAGTGTCTATCAAATGCACCATGTTCCTGGGTTCTCTTTTCTGGAGATGGTTCCTTGCACATGACAGACTCCTTTCTAAAAACTCTCTTGTGAAGGCAGTCTTTCTTCAAACTCTGCTCAGCAGAATTTCCTAGCTTCCCTTCTTGTAGGCTCTCATCTAACTTCCCTTCTTGTTGGTCCTTGTGGTCCAGAGCTTCCTGGGACTCAGGTGGCTGTAAACTAGCCTTTGTGAATCTTTTTGATATAAATTCTGGAGATTTTACTTCTTCAAAACATTTCTCATTTAGAGTGCATAGTTCCTTCTCGATCCCAATCTCAGAATCTGTGACATGAAAACATAAATAAATTACTAGAGGAAACCACCCCATCAGTGACAGTCTCCATGTTTTGTTTGTTGGGTTTTTTTGTTTTGTTTTGTTTTTTGTGACACTGGAGTGTGAACTTGGGGCCTTGCACTTACTAGGCAAACACTCTACACTTGAGCCAGGCCTCCAGCCTTTTTTTGCTTTAGGTGTTATTCCATAGTATCTCACATTTATCACTGGGTGGACCTATACTTTGGTGCCCGTATTTACACTTCCTTTGCTTTTAATACACACCTTTTATTGGCTGAGATGAAGTCTCACTAACTTTTTGCCTGACTGGCCTTGATCCTCCTGATCTCTGCCTCTCTAGTAGCTAGAATTATAGGTGTCAGCCACCACACTTAACTCTATGATCTGCTTGATGCTCTTATAAATTATTATGCAAAAAGCAGATGCTTCAGTAGAAACGTGACAGGCAGAACTCAAAAGTAAGGATAGGCATGGCACTGAGGGTGTGGTTCAAGTGGTAGAACAGTTGCCTAGAAAGCATAAGGGGGGGGGCCAAAAGACAGGATGAAAAGTTATCAGAGGAAGAGATGTTCAAACAAATTGTTTTTCACCTGTGAAACAGGCAAACCAATCCATTCAACAAATATTTAAGGACTGGGGGCATGGCTCAAGTAGTACAGCACCTCCCTAGCAAATTTGAGACCCTGAGCTCAAACCTCAGTACTGAAACAAGTTTTGTTTTTTTTTTCTTGGTGGCACTGGGGATTGAACTCAGAGCCTCACACTTGCTTGGCAGGCACTCTTACCGCTTGAGCCACTCTGCCAGCCCTTTTTGTGTGATGGGTTATTTTGAGATAGGGTCTCATGAATTATTTGCCTGGGGCTGGCTTCAAACCATGATTCTCCTGATCTCTGCCTCCTGAGTAGCTAGGATTACAGGCATGAGCACCAGCATCCAGCTTCAAACAAATATTTAGATGGCCAGGCATGTTTTAGGTAAGGAACACAGAGGAAGACAAACATAGTCTGTTTCATGAAGCTTATTTATGGGCTCTAGGCATGGTTCAAGAGGCATAGCACCTGTCTACCAAGTGCAAGGCCCTGAGTTCAAATCCCAGTTACCTCCCCATGCTATGCCCCCCCCCCAAAAAAGCTTATGTTCTACTCAGGAAGACAGATAAGTAAGGAAGTGTGATGCTTAGTCTTAATTGTCAACGTGACTGGATTCAGAAATTCATAGATTACTAAAGCACACCTCTAGGGCTGGTTGCAAGGGTGCTTCTAGAGACAATTAGATCATGAGGACTCTGACCTAATCAGTGGATCAATACCTTAAGATATTCATAACATGACAGCATTATTGGGAGGTGGTAAAAGATAGAAGGTGGGGCCTGGTTGGAGGAAATAGGTCATTGGGGCTGTCTTTGGGACTATATTTTGCCCTGGCCCTGTCCTATATTCCATTTTTTCTGCTTCCTGTCCAACATGATGAGAGCTGCTCCACCACAATATCCATACCATGATGGATGGAATCCTCTGAAACCAGAGATCAAGTTTCAAGGCTAGCATAGGCAAAAAGTTAGTGAAATAACCCTGGCGTGGTTATGCACATCTGTAATCCCAGCTATAAGAGAGACATAGGTAAGAGGATCCTCTTCCGAGGCTGACCCTGGAAGATCTATCCAAATAATAACTAAAGCAAAAAGAAAAAAAATCTGAGAGCATGACTCAAGTGGTAGAGTGCTTACCTAACAAATGTAAAGCCCTGAGTTCAAAACCCAGAACTGCCAAAAAAAAATTGAGGCAGGTGTGGTGATACGTGGCTGTAAAAGTAGTTATTCAGGAGGCAGATTACTGTCCAAAGCTAGCCAAGCAAAAGCATGAGACCTTGTCTGAAAAACAAACTAAAAGCAAAAAGACTGGTAGCATGGCTCATGTGGTAGAGTGTCTGCCTACTGTGTGTGAAGCTCTGAGTTCAATCTTAGTAGTACAAGAGAGCGAGTGAGCGAGAGAGAGAGAGAGAATGAGAATACCATTATAAACTGAGCACCAGTGGTTCACACCTGTAATCTTACCTACTTGAGAGACTGAGATAGGATCGTGGTTTGAGATTAGCCCAAAATAATCAGAGCAAACCAACATAGAGGTTGTAGTACCACAACAACACTTTGCAAATGCAAAGACTTGAGTTTAAACCCCAACCCCACCAAAAAAAGAAAAAAGAAAAAGAATCTCACTATGGCCAGAGCAGAAATGGGGGTGGAATGGGGAACAAGAAGAGATGCGGAATGTAACACACAAAGGTTGAGAAGTCTGTATGCTAAATACTTTAAAAATAGTAATATCGGACATTGTTGAGAATTGCAGAAGCAATTATGTCCTGTATTGCTGGGAGGGACGATAAATATGATTTTTAAAGGGAAGGTTGGCAATATGTACCAAAAGAATTATTACACACCCTTTGTCCTCAAAATTACTCTTCCAGGAATTTATCCCAAGTAGATAGTCATATGCACAAAGAAATGACTATTATCCCTGGGCGCCGGTGGCTCATGCCTGTAATACTAGCTCCTTGAGAGGTTGAGATTAGGAGGATCGAGCTTTGAGGCCAGTCCAGGCAAATAGTTTGTGAGACTCCATCTCCAAAATAACCACAGCAAAATGGGCTGCAGGTGTAGCTCAAGAAGAAGAGTAACTGCTTTGTAAGTATGAAACCCTGAGTTCTAACTCCAGTTCCACCAAACAACAAAAAAAGAACCATTATGACTGTGGGCAACAAGAACTCAAGAGTTTAACAAGTAGAGGACTGTTTAAACCAATGAGAGACTATTCATATAATGAAATACCTTTCTGACATCATAATCTTATAATAGAATACGTAATTAAAAATCTATGACATAGAGTGAAAAAGTTCTAAAATTATATGCCCAGCATAAACCAACTTTTATTGAAAAAAAAAATAAGATCAGTCTATTTCTTCTTAAGTTGTTAGTAGAAGTTCGTAAAGCCATCTGGGGTTAGCATTTTCTCTGAGGAAGGGCTTTATAAGTTACTGAATCAATTTATTTAAAACCTAAAGGATTATGTATTAACCTTTTCTTGTGTCAAATTTATTCAATCAATTTTCCAGGATATTTATATATTTTATTTTCACATTAAATTTTTGGCATAAATATGTGCAAATGTCTTTTTATTATGTTCTGTAGTATCTGTGTTGATTGCTTTTTGGTTTTGGCTATTTGTTCCTCTGCTTTTTTGTTTCTTTTTTTTTGCTTTGCTGTATGGAATCCAGGGATTTGTTCATACCAGGCAAGCACTCCACCACTCTACTTATTCTTATCAGTCACATCCATAAAATTGTAACACACTGTTTTGAGTGATTTTTTTTTTTTTGGCAGCACTGGAGTTTGAACTCAGGGCCTCACATTTGCTAGGCAGACGCTCTTACCACTTGAGCCACTCCATCAGTCCTTTTTGTGTGTGTGTGATGAGCTTTTTCGAGATAAGGTCTTCTGGAGGCCTGCTTGTGGTGGGCCAAACACCCACTTTCGTCTAAGAGGATGCAGTGTGGCTGGTTGGAGTCAGAGCCTGCACATGTTTATCCACTTTGAGCTGAGCTTTTCTCCTCTGGAAATAGCTGATAGTAGTTTTCTTTATGTAACTTTTATATAAGCAGAGCATGTAACCAAAGCATTCAGGAAGCTGAAGCAGAAGAATCATGAATTTGAGGCCACCCTGAGCTACATATCCAGTTCAAGGATATCCCAGGCTACATAGTAAGACCCTGCCTCAAAAGAATTTTAAATTAAAATAATACAGCATAACAGGATGAGAAACTTTACACTTCTTAGTTTGGAAATCTTGTTATTTAAAACACTCAATTCAAATACAGAAAATTTCTGTGGAAAATTACATACACTTAAAAGTGACTATGTAGTCTCCCAACAATGAAGAGCTTAGGACTTGATGGATTCAATACCAAATTCTACCAGACCTTTAAAGAAGAAATAACACCAATGCTCAAACTGTGCCATGACATAGAAAGGGAAGGAACATTACCAAATTCACTCTGTGTAGCCAGTATTACCCCGACACCAAAACCTGATAAGACACAACAAAAAAGGAAAATTATAGACCTTGATCAACACAGATGCGAAAATTCTCAATTAAAAACTTGCAAACCAAATTCAACAATACATTAAAAAGATCATGCAACCATGATCATGTTTGTTTCATTCCAGGGATGAAAGGATGATTTAACATATGTAAATCAATAAATGTAATGCAACACATAAACAGAATCAAGGACAAACATCACATGATCCTCTCAACAGAAGCATAAAAAGTCTCTGGTACGATTCAACATCCTTTCATGAAAAAAGCTCTGAAGAAACTAAGAAGATGGAATGTACCTCAACATAATAAAGGCTATATATATAACAAACCTATAGCCAACATTGTTCTAAATGGGGGAAAAACTGAAGTGATTTCCTCTAAAGTCCAGAACAAAACAAGGGTGTCCACTCTCCCAACTGTTATTCAACATAGTACTAGAATTCATAGCAAAGGAATAAAGAAAGAAAAAGAAATAAAATGGATTCACATAGGAAAGAAGTCAAATTATCCCTATTTACAGATGATATGATCCTATACTTAACAGAACCTAAAGACTCCACCAAAAAATCCTAGATCTGGGCTGGTGGTGTGGCTCACGTGTAGAGTGTTTGTCTAGCAAGAACAAGACCCTGAGTTCAAACTCCAGTACCACCAAAAAAGAAATCCTAGATCTGATCAACATTTCTGGTAAAATAACAGGATATAAAATTAACATATTGAAATCAGTATTTCTTTTAAATACCAAGAATGAACACAATGAGAAAGAAATCAGAAAAAAATAATTATGCTTATAAAAATACCTATATTTATCTCAGAAGGTGAAAGAATTTTACAATAAAAACTATAAAACCTTGAAGAAAGAAACTGAAGATACCAGAAGAAGGAAAGATCT